TTATTGACAAAGACAGAGGTCGAATTCTTAACACCAGAGTTGACTAGAATATTGACACCTCGTCATGACGCTACAGATTTTTAAACTCTTATAATTATAGCAATATTCTCTTTTTTGGACTGCAAAAAAGAATAATTCTGCATTATCACCGACGATGACTAAGGTTAATTCTAAGTAATCGAAAATAACTAGATTACTGATGCGCTTTTCAAACTTTTCTTTTAGTGTATTCCCTTTCCTTTATAACTAGTATCTCCTTTCCCTCTTTGAGAACGTCGAGACCCTTGGGGGGCGGTTTTATCGTTGTACCATTCTATGTTGTTGCTAAATGAAAGATGTCCTGTTCCCGTCCTCGTCCTCTCTGTTTTACACTTTCAAGTTTTGTATCTATTAACCAACACGCTCGTTTTCAATTGTAACTGACAACGTTTTTCGAGACATGTTTCGTCCAAACCCCAACTGCGTTTTTTTCGGTCTTCAATCCGGTGTCTTTTCTGGAAGCTGCCATCTTCATTTCAAAGATGACCCAACTGCGTCTCCGACTGCGTTCACTGGGCCTCTACCTTCGCATGGATTTGCCTCATCCCTGTGTAGAGCTGGCATTTGGGTTTCGCTGCAACAACTGGGCTTCATGCTACCGAGTAATGCAGATTACGAGAAAAGAAATTTCTCATGAACTTCACGTGATGGAAAGAGTGCTTCCCTCCCAAATGGAGAAACTTTTCGGACAAGGATTCAGGGCCCGAGTGGAGTACAAGTTCATCATGGATGCTGCTGCCAGTCTTCTTCAAGCATCGTGGAATAAACTGCTCAAGGAAGTCAACACCTCGTGTCTACAGGTAAAGACCACCAAGTTTGAACCTCCTGTGATGCTTTCTACAAAAAAGCTCTCCGCTGCCACAATGGACCTGCTGTCGAGGGGACCAAAGTTTGCTCCAGATCTTCCTTCGTTGAAGGTAGACCAGCTAGCCTCTGTGCATCAAGTAGCGTCGTCTATACCTGAACATCAAGGGCAAGACTTTCTGGGCTCGGCAGTGCCTGCAGTGTGTCACCATCTACCACCTCGGCCAAGCAGGCTTCCACTACGTGCGGCTGTGCAAGAGCTTCGCCAAGAACCCTTAAAATTACTTGAATCGGACAAAACGGGTGTTTTTGTAATTTTGGAGGAAAGTGCTTTTAATGATAAGGTTCTTGATGCCTTGTCAAAGAATTTTGAGCGCTTAAAAACTAGGCCTTATGGTAGACTGCGTTCGAAGGCAAAGGAACTTTGTTCCTCCTTGAACTTGACCTCTCTTAAGAACGTCATTGGTAGTCCTGCCAAACAGTATTTGTCTGTTTTCTTTACTGCAAAGACTCACAAGTATGGAGTTCCCTTCAGGAGCATAATTTCAGAAATTAGGTGTTGGCAAAAGCCCCTGGGTCGTTATCTACAAAAACATTTGTCTAATATCACCCTCCCTCAGCCTTTCAGAGTCCAAAACTCCCTTGAATTCATCCCCCGCTTCGATTCGCTTCATTTTTATTCCATCCCGCACTCAGTTATGTCCTTCGACATTGAAGATATGTATTACAGCCTAGAACCAAAACTCATCTTAGATTCTGTGACTAATGCAATCCATGAACACGGAATTTGCGACTTTCAAAATTCCTCCGGTGTTTCGGTTGAGGGCTTCATCGACCTGATAGATACTTATTTACAGTCCACTTTGGTAGAATACGAAAGAAATATTTACAGAAAAAAGAAAGGAGTTTGTATAGGCTCTTGCCTTGCACCTGTCCTTAGCGAAATATTTCTTCTTTTTGTTGACAGGGCTATCAACGATCAGTTAAAAAAGTCCTTCCAGGGTTGCCTAGTTTTTAGGTATGTTGACGATTACTTGGTCATTTATCCAGATGCTGCGTCCGCTGACAGCATCTTTGAAGTTTTCAAAGACTGTGCGGCAGGGCTTACTTTTACCCGGGAAAATCCTTCAGTGGAAGGATTACAATTTCTGGACTTACTATTGCATCCTCATTCCTCAGGTGTTTGTTGGGCCTTCCAGCAGAGGTCGGAGAAGCCAGTCCTCCCTTTCACCAGTGCTCACTCCAAGTCCGTTAAGCATAGAATAGTAAGGTCACTTTTCAAGTCCTCATTCTCCAAGTCATGCACGCATTTCTCCGGAAGTAGCCTCAAGTTGCAGCACCAGAGGTTAAAAAAAGCAGGCTTTCCTGCTGACCTACTTCGCTCCACCCTTGAGAGGTTCATTATCAAACCACAACTTCCGCAAGTTGTTTTAAAAAAGAAAGGTCGTTTCGCTGTGATTCCCTACATGCACAATTCCGCGCACCGTTTAAGGTCTATCGCGTCTAAGTCCGACATGAGTGTGGTTTTTTCTTGTCGTATGCGCCTCAACCAGATGTTCAAAAAGGTTAAAGGGATTGACAGTCCCCGAGGGTGCAATGTAAAACATGCAAAAAAGTTCGTAGAATGCGAAGAAAGGAAGATTTATTTGATTCCACTAAGCTGTGGCAGTCAGTACATTAGATAGACTGGGAGATGCGTCAACCACCGACTCAGAGAACATAACTTGGAAGCATCAAAGGCTTCAACTGAGTCGTATCACCCCATTGTCGTTCTCAGCCGCACACGCGATGACTGTACTCCTCATTTTTCTAATACTAAGATACTGGGCGGGCACAACAACAGATTTGGGAGAGAAATCATCGAGTCATTTGCCATGGGGACTGTTAACAACAACATTTCTGCACCGTCATTATCATTGACAAAGACAGAGGTCAAATCCTTAACACCAGAGATGACTAGAATATTGACACCTCGTCATGACGCTACATATTTTTAAACTCTTATAATTATAGCACAATTCTCTTTTTTGGACTGCAAACAAGAATAATTCTGCATTATCACTGACGATGACTAAGGTTAATTCTAAGTAATCGAAAATAACTAGATTACTGACGCGCTTTTCAAACTTTTCTTTTAGTGTATTCCCTTTCCTTTAAAACTAGTATCTCCTTTCCCTCTTTGAGAACGTCAAGACCCTTGGGGGGCGGTTTTATCGTTGTACCATTCTATGTTGTTGCTAAACGAAAGATGTCCTGTTCCCGTCCTCGTCCTCTCTGTTTTATACTTTCAAGTTTTGTTCTACGTTCAGTGCGCTCTGGTTCCGTTCAAATTAAAAAGCAGTAAAAAAGTCCTTGCAGGGCCCCTTTATGAGTGAAGTGGAAACTCCTCCTTACTCTTACCGCTTCAGCAGAGCGGACGCTGAAGAGGACCTCGCCTCCTCTCCTGCGTTTGGTCTGCTAAAGTGAAAAGATATGGGAGGACCATTCACTTCATTCCTCTCACCGACTGTATAGGCCTGTACAGTGCTTGGTCTCCCACCGGTGGCAGGGGGTCTCTGAAGTAGTCACCTCGGCGAGAGGGGAGGGGGGGGGGGAGGAAGCTATGGAACATATTTTGGAAAGCAGCCTGCTTTTAATCTAACAACATGCACATGCATCCAAACGTTTTCAGAGCGTTCGGCTAACACAGTCGAACACTGCGTCAGAAACAGCCCCAAGTAATTCATGTTGTACCCATAGGTTTAGTTCTTAATTTCGTCGCTAGCGGCGCGATGGCTGGATCTACTTTCCAAAGGGGTCTGGGATTCAACCTCGAAATCTGTTGGCGGTTTGAGACCCCCGAGACCTGATTTTAAGCACTGGGCCTGTAGCTTTAAAGTTTGGACATCGCCTCCTTGAGGGCAAAGTCAAATATTTATCATTCTTGTTCCTGTTGTGCGTCATCACGGTTTTTCGCGCTGCTCGCTCGGACGCTAAGGTGGAAAGATTTCATTGGTGGATATAAATTGAGGAAAGAAAATAACAAGAGAAAAAGAGCTACAATAAATTACACTTATCGTTCTGATGAAAGTCTGAAAGCGAAAGCTGTATTTTTTTCTTGTTTATTTTAACTGTTTGTTTTGCCATTTCGGTTGCTCTGTTTTTGCGCGTAGACAGATGTTGACACAAGCTTGTAAACGACAGTGACTTGTCCGCAATCGTGCGATAGTTCGTTTCAGCTTCGGTCCGAGCGCGGCCGATGTTATGAGCCAAATGGCCAATCAAACAGCGAAAGAGGCACAACGTCATGGCGTGCTCTCTGCAGTTGATAGGACCAGCCGGTATTCGCCGTCTCTCTCTGTGCGCGCTCCTCCGCCGGCTAGTCCTATGAAGCGCAGAGAGCACACCATGACGCTGCGCTTTTTGCGCTGTTTGATTGGCCCTTCGGCTCATTACATCGGCCGCGCTCGGACCGAAGCTGAAACGAAGTATAGTTTATTTATGCCAGTAGTATAACACTATGAATGGTCATAAATGTCTAAAAAATAATGAATCATCCTTTTTTGGAAAATTGGTCTCCTCCCAAAAATAGCTTGAGAAAAAAAAAAAAAGGACCTAGCATATTTTAGATCCTTCTGGATTACTGCAGTCGAATGGCAAATCAAGTATTTTGCTGTATTTTTAAAAGTGCTCGTTTGAACATCACTGTTTCTATAAGATATGCGTGAGGTGCCTCTGAAATATATTTTTCTACAGATTTAATACATATCTTAGACACTACAAAATTTTCCAAAATATTGGGGAGGGCTCCTAGTTAATTCATTCAAGCATAACCAGCGGTTTATACCCAAGAATAAGCTGTAGACTTTTATTAACTTGGATACCATCTGTAGTGGCAATACCTCAAAAAGTTTCTTCGACTGAGGAACCCGCAGTTTACACCTCATCATCTTACAATTTTGGCACAAGAATAACGGTATACGATAGAATGGTGTCGTAGCATGGCAAAGTGTTCAAAGCGTAAATTTTCAAAGTTATGACCATATTTGTATATTAAATACATAGGCTTCTACGGGAGCGCTGCCGTAACCCGCTAAGAGATGACGCAGGCGTACGATGGCACAACTTTTTGGGGATGCAGGTTAATTTCTGTCGTCCTTATTCTATTTCTGTTACAGAAGTGCTACAGAAAGGTGGCAACGCCGCTGACGCTGCAGTGGCTGCAGCGGCCGTGCTTCAGGTTCTGCAGCCTTACGCCACGGGAATCGGCGGAGATTGCTTCTGCATATTCTACAATGCAAGTGACAAGTCTGTTCGAAGCATCGACGGCAAGTTGTGCACTGTTCCTATATTGAATTCGTAATTCTTTTCTAGGTACTCTTGAACATTATACGCTTTTCGATATTAGCTTTAATAAAAATTTAATTATTCGTTTTTTTTTTTTTCGAAGTGCTGATCGCGGTGGTTTAGCCCCGTTTAGCGCGCTTCTTACCGAGCAACAGTGTGCTGCGGAGAAGCAAACCCCGCGAGAGCGAGCTCTGGTTGTGATGCTTCTCCGCAGTGTACTAGTGGTCCTTAAAGAAGCGCGCTCAACGGGGCTAGCTTGCCGCGATCATCACTTCGTAAAGCACGAATATCGCGGTCGCGTCCGTGAGAGGAAAATATACTTCTAAAACAAGATGGGGCACGCGCGCACCTGATGTATTTAAAAGAAACGGGAACTTTGTGAATTTCATTACATTATAATTAAATTTTGAAAATTAAAGTCTGGCTATTATGGGCCTCTTGCAGGAGAACATGACGTAACGCTACTTCCGGTTTGAAAATCTCGCCGGAACCCGCCGGAATCCATGTCGGAGGCATTCGTAGCTGTTATGTGATCGAAAACAACCAAATCAAGACTCTTCAGAAAGATATAACGCAGGGGCAGCATTTTACGGCGTTCCGTAAAAACGCTTCATTTGGACGCGTTTCTTGGTTTCGGTTTCTTATCGAGGCGCATCTTTGAGCCCGCGGTCCTGCTCCCCAGTGGCTTAGACTGCGCAACACACGTGATCCGTACTTTCTGCTCCCCGGTGGGGTGGCTTTGCTCTGTGACCACCAGGGAGCACGAACGCGGGCTCAACCGTCTGGCCGCAACAATGCGCTCCGATAAGAAGCCGAATTCTAGAAACGCGTCCAAACTGAGCGTTTCTTCAGAACGCCGTAAAATGCTACCCCTGTCTTATATTTTCCTAAATAGTTGATGTAGTGGTTTTCGATGATGCTCAGCAAGATTCTAATGAAACCCTATGTTTATTTTCAGAAACATCAAAAGATGACTAACAAATTATATTTAATTATCTCTCTGATCGTTACGATTCTCCCCTGATAACTATGTCCACCTGGCCGTATAACTCACCTGCACAAACGGCAAAACTGTAGCCTTCACGACTTTTTTAGAACAAACCTGTAGAACTTATAAAAAACAAACAGAACACAAACACACACGCACACCTTGTATGTTTGGCAGAAATGTCCTGACAACCTCTGTTCGTCTTTCGTGATTGTCTTTTTCCCAAATTCGATATCGAATAAAGGATAGTTCGCTTTCAGAAAAAAGGGTATAAGCCTTACACCCTTTGCCACACGTTATACACCCCGAAACTTCAGTTTGACGTACAGCCAGACATGTACAAGTCACTCAAAAAAGTAATTAAGTTGAGTTACTGAGTATTGACGTCAAGAGTAATTTGAGTAGAGTAGAAATTACTTAAATAGAAAGTAATTGAGGAAATTGTTAATTAACGTAAAAAAGTAGCGAATTACTTTTGAAGTTACTTTTGAAAATACTTGTGTATGTTTTATGGTAAAAAGAGAGTACAGAGGTTCTGATCCGTTAGCGAAATTGTGCTAGCCAAATATGAATAGGCTTGTTTTTTTCCCAGCAATGCTTTAATAGCTGGTTCTGCTTCTGCGTGCCTATTTGTTTTGTACATTCTTGTTTGTTTGGCCAGTGATGTATTGTGAATGTGTCATTTGTACTTTGAGGGTTTAACATTGCGTGAGCTTGCTTTTTTAGACAGTGTTTGCTTGTTTAGAGGTTATGTACTTCCAGTGAAATAGTAAGTACACCGGGTGCAATGTAATTGAAGTAACGTATATAAATACAATATATTTCAAGGTAAAGTAAAAGCACTTTTAACAAAACCTCTCATGATGTTCGTTCCCTATACAATGTTTATTTAACTGGTATGCATTGCTCCAGGGGTAATCGAAGGTGCATCATTTTTTTACGGAAATGGCAGCAAATATTGTATAAGGTCGAGTCGCCGCAGAGTTGTTGTTTTACTCTCGCTGACGAGCTATTTGACTCAATAAACTTATAAGTCACCAATTTCCATCGCCCTTACAGCCTCTATTACTTCACTCAGAGAAATGAGTAGATGACGTCTGGAAAGAGCGCGTTTTCACACAAGGATACCGCCATTTTTTGTTTTCAAATTCGGGAAATGTACCTTAAAGACGGGAGTTTTACTTTCCTCGGAAAATACAAGTACAGGTTCAGCAAATTTACTTCAAGTAAAGTACAATTTTTCTCAACAGTAGTACTTAAGTACCATGTACATAGAGTAGTTTCCAACACCGCGTGTGTATTATTTTTTATATAAAAACGTTGGGGGAATTACTAAAGGTTTCTCGAACGATCTTTGAATCTTTGAAGATCTGCATATTCTGAGTTTTGGGAGGAAAGGAAACGGCAAAAATGTAATTCTTGCGTTGCCCTTGAGCACGCGATTCTTCGAGTAGAGCACAAACTACGGGAGCACCAGATGAGTTATAGAGCATGTGCTTCATTTTGCTGCCTCCCTTCAGTGAGGATGCAGGTGTGCACCTCCTGTAGTGGGCGAGAGTTTTTACGTTGGGGAGAAGCGGGGACCAGCCCTTTCTTCAGATGGGTCGAGTCTCCTTGAGCCTCGGCCCACAGAGAAACACCAGTCTTCGGCGCTAATCCGCAGTTACTGGGCCTCTCTTGCGTCGTGTCTCTTCGCTCCCCGCGCGTTGTAGCAGAGTTGTTGCAGTGGGGGGGGGGGGGGGGGGGGGGGGGGTCGGACTCTTTAAACCGTATTCTCCCCCCCCTCCCCTTCCTACTCCACATGCTTTCCCCTCTTTGCGAATATCAGCTGATCTTCCAACATCTTATCTCCTTTGTGCAGGATAGTTTGTTGATAGACAAAACAACCACTAAAATTCGAAAGTAATTTGTAACTTGAGTAAAAGTAATTAAAAAAGCAATTAAATTAAACTACTAATTACCGAAATGTGAGCAGAGTAGTTGAACTACGTTCAAGTCTGCGTACAGCGCACTGACGTCAAACTGACGGCCCTAACTTTTACGAGGGGCTTCATAACAGTGCGAAATAACCTATTAAACTGCTGAAGTAGGTATTAAAAAGTACAAAAAAAAGTCCGAGGTTTTGCAGTAGGGTTAAGGAAACCCCGACTACATTCTTTTGCAGTCAGTCACATGTACATTAACTATTTTAATACGTTGTACAACTGGGCTATCAAGCCGCTCGTGAATGTTTGTACCGTCGATTCAAGGTCAGTGCGGTGTGCGTCGAACTGAAGTTTTGTGGTGTATTATATGTTACAAGGGGTGTAACAATATACCCCTTTTTTTCTTAGAGTCTTGCATATAGCAAGACTATTTATAAACCCTCTCGAATACGTATAGTTGGGCATCTACCATGTGCCTAATTTTATGTCATAACCGTCTTTTACCTGGCACTCCAATTTAGGCATTGGACTTTCCGAGGATGCGGTCAAATAAATATAGTTATATTAAAATTGTCTAAGCCTAAAGGTGGACAAGAAAACGCTTGGAAACAAACTTCACGAGTTCAGCTGGGTTTTTGTTTAAGCATGGTGCAGAATTAGTGAAGGTTGCAGAAACTATTTGACATTTGATTAAGAAATATTAGGTAAAAAAACGCTACTCATTTTGAATTCTCTTCGAACTAAAAATTGACTGGTCGCACACGCCTATTGTACACTATATTTTGCACCGTTCAACGCGTGCGTATACATTTGCACGTGTGAAGGCCTGGGTGTAGGTTGTTCAGAATTGCTGTTGCCGCAAATCAAACTGAATTTAGACCAAAAGTGATCTGGCTGATCACGCGCTTAAGGCTCCGATCCCACAGTGGCTATCTGAAATGGGTTTGAAATGGTTTTAATTTAGTAATGGAAACTAAAGAATGCACACTGAATATTATTTTTAAAAAATCTAGAACCTAGACCCTCTGACCTGTGACGAGCGACCGATGTCGATACCCGTTTTTGGCCCTTTCACAGTCAAATTTATGTATAGATCAAAACATTTGCTACAAGAACGGTTTTCAATTTCGTCCAAATAAAAAATCAACCCAGTATAATTAATTTTTTTAAAGTATTTTTTTTTCTAAACGAATTGCAATGGAAGTCAAAAATGAGCACTAAACTTTTACATCTTTAATATGGCTGGCCAGCGGGAAGAGTCCAGCACAACTGACCTTGGAGCTGCTCCGCTCAAGGGGATTCGACGAGAAACACCTTCCGGATGACAACAGCGGCCTTACGGCTACCGTCCCCGGGGCCGTCAAAGGATGGTTCGACACTGTGGAGAACTTCGGAAGTAAAAAGGTACATCAGCTATAGGACACAAAAGTGAAACAGTGCAAATGATGTTGCAAAATATTAACTTGATATAGCTGTAAAACCCAACACAATTAGCGGACGGTTTGAGTGTAAACATCCGTCCCTTGCGTATGGGCGCTCAAAATCCACACCGCACGAGGGAACTCATAAGGGTGTATGCGTCATTAAAACTATGTTCGGTTTGTGATATTTACACGCATTGTTTTTGTAACCACATAATGAACCTTCCTTACAGAAAGCTTCTGGGCATGCGTGCCTCCTCTCCCCTGGTCTCGCTTTCCTCTGTCGCCATTTTCAGAGGGTACCGTCTCGCAGGACCGACATTATTGGCACTACCTTTTCGCGTACTATACATCTTGTTTGGCGATAATTTTTCGCGTATATCGTAAGAGTGGGGCATAAAAAATCAGCAAAAGCCGATACAACTGCACGATCCTTGTGTTCTGACGGGTGGAGGAACCTTGGCTCCATTTCGTTTGTAGTTCCGAAACAACTCCCAGACGGCTCTTCTTATTAAAAAAAAAAAGGTTAATTTCGAAGTAGGCGACTTGCAAACTGGGTTAGAGTTTAAAAGCCAGAATTTTACGTCGTTGATTTCTCCTTCTTCTTTGATTTGCATTTTGGTACTGCCCAGACGCTTTTAAATATTTTATTCTTGAGGTAAAACGCCTAAAGGTTGAAATTCCCATTGTTTCGCCGAGTAAAAATCCCTGCGCTAAATGCCAACACCTTTCGTCGAGAATCAGCGTAGCGACAACGACGATTTTAGCATCCTGGTATGCGAACGCAAAAGGAGGCAAGGGACACACAAAAACCCTTTACCGAGATGTTGAACCAACACGCTCATCTAATTCTATCTAGATTTTTGCATCACTTATTTGTGTGATTGCCAGTGCGTGGAGAGAAACTGCATGTGTAAAACTCTTTCAGTGTTTTATTAACGGGAAGAATTCAGTCTGGTAAATATAGTGGAAGTAAAGCCGCACTCAGGCGGCCCATACATCGTACAAAAGACACGGGGTTCGCTCCAGACGATAACGGAAGTATCTGCGGGCGGACGCGCCTCTGTCATGCTCTACTGCTTCCCATTTGTATGGTTCAGATATGTATCCCAACAGTTTTTGTATGATCAACGTAACAGGGCGGTCGTACGAAAGAGAAACACACCTCCGCCTGCAGACTGTCTTCTGTATGATGTCTGACAGTCTTCTGTGTGATACAGCGTCCTATCCCACCCATTAATCAAAGTGGTCCCGAAGGGGCAACAAAGAACGTCACAAAAGGCTCGAGGTACACCTAAGCATTTCTTATGAGTTGGGAAAGCGAAACCATGAATGTCGTTCTTGCGCGCGTGCTCGCGAAGCTACTAGCCGCCTCGGTGGCTCCGAGGCGAGAGCGCCGGCCCATGGATCCCCACGTGGCAGGTTCGAATCCCGACCGAGGTGCCCGCACAATGACGGAGGCTTATTGCACAGAAGGCGCCGTGGTAACCGAGCTTTCGGTTGCACGTCAAAAGATCCCCAGGTGGTCGAAATTAATCCTTAGTCCTCCGCTGGGCTGTGTCAGATGCCCGACGTAGGTTTGGCACGTAAAACCCCAAATTTGACTTTTTTGACTCGCGAAGCTGCCGCTCCTCGCTGCTGCAGGAATCGGCTGTAGCGCTCGGGCGGCCGCCGCCCGAGCGCGCCAGCCAATTCGTTTTGCCGGCGCGCGGGCACGCAGCGCCATGGGGTGGCGCTGATTTAAACTGATGCGCGGCGGCATCCTTCGGTTTCATTTACTTGCCGTTTCGAGTGGCTTTTTCCGAGGCTTCAAAGCTGAGATGCCTCAGATGGCTGCTTCACGAATATATCTGCCGTTTGGCGCGGCTGATGATGTAGGCTTGCTCGATGGGACAGTTAATGCGTTCGCATTAAGGAGCCGGAGTGTCGCGATGTCGGATATCGCGATCCTGGCAGTTGGTCGTAGAAGTTCCGGCAAAAAAAAAAAAAAAGAAAAGTACAGAGCTGACGCGAGTGTCGCCGTCGTTACGGTGTGTCTACTCCTCGCTCCCCAAGTTTCCGTGGACTGTCCCGCCGTAGAGCGATCCGCAGCAGAACCGTCTGCCACATCTTCCGCCGCTGCTGCTTCTGCGACACCGCCAGGGTCGCGACAGGCGACCGCGTGACACTTCTACGACGTCACAAGGTGGAAATCGAGGGACCACTTTTTTTTTTTTTCGGACGACGTAAACACACTGGTCAGAGACGCGTTCCAGGCACCATTTAGTGTGACCGCGGCTGCAGAGAATTGTTTCACATGCACCCGAATCTGCTTGCAGGTGACCATGGATGACATTTTGGAACCCGCCATCCGCTACGCTGAGAGTGGGTTTCCCGTGACTCCCATGAGCGCCGTCACGTGGGAAGGTCTCGAGGACAAGCTGAAAGCGATGCACGGAGGTCACACCTTTCTCCGATCTGGAAGGGCCCCTCGCTCGGGAGACGTGCTCAGAAACCTCGCCTTGGCTAAAGTGCTCAAGGTACACAAGCACTCTTTGGGGCTTTGATGGAGGAGAGAGAAGCCGCATAGGGAGTATTTTCACTGGGCGCCATATTTGAGCGGGTTGTTTACCGCGCATGCTCGGAATGAGCTCACATCAATAGGCTGCTAGGACCGGCAATTTTCGTGGTATGGAATGCACGTTGAAAGAGAACTGCGGAAGCTCGCGGTCAGCAGCCCCGGACTCAGCCACTCAGCTATGACCGCCGGTGAATACTTACTATAGGGTGTTTTCATTGACGTAATTATGTCCACCACTTTGTTCTTCCGAGCTGCTTGGCCCGTGCGAAAGACGAACGTTTGAAATATTCCTCTGGCACCGTCGAATGCGTAGGGCATTGGGGCCTATTCACCGATGTTTATTTGCAAACAAGCTCGCTACTGCCTGCTACCGACGGACCGCTGCGCGCTTCAGGTTTTCCTCTTTCTTACTTTTTTTTTATCAATTTTGTTATTTCCACGACCGGCTTTATAGGGGCGACCTGCTCACTTCGCGTTTCCCTGTGGGGGCGGGCGGACCAAGAAATAGCACGTGAACGCCTTGGAGGGAGCCAGTGTTCCGCTAGGCGCCGCCCTAGCTCAACACCGAAAGCGCGGCGGCCACTATGGAAGGAAATAGGAGCGTGTAGAAATAACGTTGGTTTCAGATGATTTTGCCGCATTTAATAGGCAGGCGGTAATGCTAGCACAGTATGTACAGAATAGGTTACAATGAGTCACTATCTTAGAGTTTTCTCGAGCAGAATAGTTAGTATTGTGAGCTAAGCATCAGTAGGGTTTACGAGTGTACAGGGTGGTGCATCCAGTCCGCCTGCTGGAGCACACTCCCGTGATCGGAATAAAAAATCGAGCTAGATGCTCCGCAGGTGGGCCGCGACGATCTTGGTGAATGTTCGAAGTGAGACACTGTCGATTGGTGGTAAACTGGCGACTGGCGTGGGGTGGGGGGGATTTCCAAAGTTGCACTGCACGGGGTGCGAAGGAGTTCTAATGACGAAATGAACGGGTTAAAAGGGGCTGCAGTCCACCAGTGCGAGTACGCCACAGGGAGGAGGCAAAAAAAGAAGAAAAAAAAAAGCGAGGAGTCCGGTAGCAGAATAGTTGCTAGGAGCCTTGTCGTCGCTAGTTGGCGTCGATGTTGAAGCGGGTCCCTGCCGACTGAACGGAGGAGGTGCAGTGCTTTATAGGATAGCCTTGATCGGGGGCCAAGTTTGCGCCTCATGATGAGGTAGGAAGCGCTACGTTGCACCGACTCGGTTGCTGGTTGCCGAATCCCACACCGAGCTGCAAAACTCCAGGATGGGCAACATTAGCGCTGTGAACAGCAATCTGGCACATCGGGACTGATTCTTCTTGTGGACCGAATCAAGAAGCCAAGGAGTCACCTTTCCCTGGACACGACGCTTTGGACATAGGGATAGAAATCGAAATGCTGGTTGATGATGATGACACCTAGGAGGTGGATATGCGTTGTTCTTGGGATGTCCACTCGATTCAGGAAAACTGTTGGAGGGTTCGAAGTTTCGCACGAGGCAGTGATGTGCATGGTACCACATTTGGTTGAAGTTTAGGGGAAGTTTGTTATCCTTTGACTAGAAAAGAATGCGATCTAGATGAGCTCTTAGCTCTTTACCGAAAGTACAACTGCAATAACCAAAAGAAAAGTTCTTAAAATACAGCCGATCACCCTCAAAACGTCGCCGGTCGCGGAGCGGACACACACAGATATACACGCGAAAGCGTCTGCTAGTTTGTTAAGCTACAGCGCCAGATAACGCGGTGGTGGTTCAGTGAACTAGAGAAAGCAAATGCAAACTAGAATAAGTAAAGCAAATGCGGCGCGCTTGCGCTGCCTCGGGCATAGAGTTATTATAACAAACGCTAGAGGCTCAGCTGGCGCTAGTGTCTATGGGACTTCCGGTTGCAAATTGAAGCAGACAGCATGCAGTCTACTTTTCCAGTCTCCCTGTGTATTCCTATGGGAAAACGCGCGTGAATTTTGTCTCGTCGCCGGAAAATAACATGAATAACTTTTGTTATTTCGGCTGTACCGGATAGTATGTACCTTTATTAATATTGTGAAAGTGTAATTGCTTTAGTTACAGCACTTTTTCTTTACCACTGAGCGACGTTAAACTTCGCTATATTTCAGGCGCAAACCTCTATTCCATGGCAGGTATGTAAAAACGAGCGACGATTCTAAGCAAAATAACGATGGAAAGGAATGTAGAGTGTGTTCAAAGTTCGACAGCATTCCGTTGGTGCTTATATATTGCTAATATGCCTGTCCTATCACTATATATATGAAAATGACCTCGTCGTGCATCTTTACGAGTGGTTAAGAAAACGTTCGAAACGTAAAGAATAAAGTACGTACGTGGGCTACGAAAGGTGTGTTTTCTTATTATTTCCTATGTTGGGCAGTTTTTATCGCGCGCCTGTTCTCTGGCTTCCCCCTATTTGCAAAGATTTGGAGCGTCCGGGTGATGATTTGAACACAGAACAAGCATCTTCGCACATATTCACGAGCAGGAAGCATAAAGCAGTACTTATTTATTGCAAATCGGACTATATTACGTGACTTTCAATTTATTGTGATCGTCTGCAAGCAGAGTTACTTGTCCAGTGTTACTGCGTAGTTCTTGCCGTCTCTCTTCGTTTTCCACATGACCTTCGTTCGTTGGGCACGTATATCCCCCATGCTGGAAAGCGCCGACGCCGTGTTCGTGCTAACAGTGTCCGACAGTGCACATAAATACATGTACGAAGCGGTTTTAGCACCGTTTTTTATGCCACGATTTAAAAATAAAAACGCCGTAACTGATCAATTATTTCATCTGCGTGTCTGGGAAATGTTCCAATGTGCCTAGTAGGTACGATTTATTCGTGATATTTGCTCTTATACTCGAGCGCAGAGAGGAAATGCACTCGCTTTTTTCTGTAGAAATGCATTACCGGAAGTCAATTTCGGACTGCTTGCTGTCTGTTTTAATTTGCAACAGCACACTAGCGCCAGTTGAACCTCTAGCGTACATTATAATAACTCTATGGCCTCAAGTTACCTGGTCGCCCCTATAAAGCAGGTCGTGGATATTTCTTTACTTGCTAGAATGCGCCCAGGTTCTTACAAGCGTATGACAAATACTTCTCCGAGAGAACATTTTCTTACCCGATCGCTGTGCGTTGGCGGAGAACAAATAAATACACTACCGGAACTCAACTGGGGCGCGGAATGCCGTGGCACCCTCGGGGTATTAGCTACCGCCGAATGTTTCATCGCGGGACATCCAACAACCAAATGGCGGACTGAGGTCACGTGAAAACACCCCAGAGAAGTAAGCGAGAACAACGGATCAAAGAAACATACCGGATGTTTTAGCGAAGACTTAGAAATTCCTACCTATAGGGTGGTAGAAAAAAAAGAAAAAAAGAAGCTCTTTCTGGGAAGAAACTGACAGCCACGGCGGACGTAAGGGATTGAAAAAATACATAATAATTGGGTTTCTAATTAAGTAAATTTACTAATTAACTTTTCAATAAGCGAAAATAAACCTAGGGTTACAATTAGAAACCTGCTGAGTGTCATCGAAAACTTCTAAAGAACAATTTGTGGAATTCTTAGAGCATGTGCGAAGCGCGGGAGTGTACCAAACTTACCGCTCGTGCAGCCGGCACAAGGAATGACGATGCAAAAACCCGAATGATATATTGTCACAAATGACAAGTGATAAGGCGACGAAAACTGAAGCAAACTAAACGTTTAATGGTTCGAACTTCTGGCCAAAACAAAATAGAAAAGAATGATGGCGTCGCAAGCGTCGATGGCGTCGAAACAGCTGGATGAGACGCTGGAGCGAGACTGACTCGACAAGGTCGCGACCAATTTCTTATCTAGTTTATGTCACTATCTAGAATATCCGGCAAAGAAGATCGAGAGTCGCGCGCTCGGGGCGAGAATGAACATGCACTTTCGAGAACGAGAAAGCAGGAATAAATGTTAAAAGTTACGTCCGTAGCAAGAATAGACGCACGCGAATCTTCTAGAAACCCGTGACTGAGCGTTGCTTCCTCGGCCCTGCAGGCGGCAATATCGCTTTCGACAAACTTTCTGGCACTATATACCATTCCAATGCTGACAAGTCCTCAGCACAGCGTGCAATCTTTTTAAACCATCAAGGGCATGTTCGTTGGTTCGGAAAGCGAGCAAATCACGTGCCATATGAACGAACACTGAAAGTAAAACCGACCAGCAGCCCCTTTTTGGAAAGTCTATACTCCATCTCACAAATATCATCAGTAAAGACAAAGGCACAGACGCGTGAGCCTATAGCCCAGGATGATGATTGTTTGTATTTGAAATGGTGCATATAAGGCACGTTACAAAAAGCCAGGCGCTCGTGGCCATGCCCTTGTCTACACTGAAGATGCTTGTGAGATGGAGCATTCGCTTCTTTTTTGTTTGGCAAGAAACTCGGTGGCGCCATCTATTGTGTAGCTCCGGCATACTTCCGGTTCACGTACAATCCCTAAACTTTTACTCGCAATTCTTTTATCGTAAGAGTGAATTAAATTTGACAGTGCTCTAAGTGGCATTTTCCAGGAGATAGCGTGTACATTTGATCTCGTAAATACTACGGAACTCGCTGTCTAGTTCAGAACCGGAAGTGGTTGGGGAATATTTGCAAACTGGCGCCAACACGCTTCAACTCACGCGAGAAAGAGCGAATAGTCGAACCCAAGATACTCGTACGCAGCGCCACTGACCGAAGCTTCTCTGTCGCCGCGTAATTTCAGCGATGAAAGAGGACGTTTTTTTCACAGTATCTCCTTCGTATAAACCTGGTTACGAAATCCTAGGGATCGCATAGTTGACGTTGTGATCAATATGTTTCCCAGGATTTTCACATCAATCTTGGCTATCCCTGCGGTGACGATATTTAAATGCGGCTCATACAGTGAACACCATCACTGCGTGAGAATTCGATTTGAGTTCGTGGCAATCAATGCCTCGACACGCATTCGGATTGCAGCTCGTGCCCAATCGCGGTGATGACGGGAATAACCGAACCTTAACAATATGTGGAACCATAGCCTCCTCTACACTGACAAAGCCTGGCAGATCGCCACGAGACGCGGCCGCCGAAATAGACCGATCTCATCAAGCGTTCGGCGCATGCCTGACGCCGCCATAACGTTAGTTCACAGGAGGCAAACGGAAGTGCTCGAGAGGGCTCGTGTTGTCTCGTGCTCTACACGCACAGAGCTCCAGCGAGTTTGTCGCACGCGCAGAAAGACTATGTCGCACGCGCAGGAAGACCATCCCTCACGGTGCATCACTGCCCCGCCCTTCATTATACCTCACTGTTCTTTAATCACTAACATAATCACCCCCTCTAGACGGGCCTCACAGGCATTATTGTACGGGCTACACGCCTTTCTGTGACGCCTGCGCTCACGAGCGCAAATAAATACCAAATACCAAATACCAAATAGTTCCCTCGATGCGTTGCGGCAGCGGTGGCGTAGTTAAACTGGCTGATGAGATCGGTCTATTGAAAACGTAGAGCGGCTGAAAGGAGGCCTGTAACGGGCGCCCCGCTGCGGCGAGATGCCGAAACACGCATGTCCCGAGCGATGGGATATTCGCTCCTGCTTCTCGCGTTCCCCGGGCTGCCGGTTCTTTTCTCGTCGGGTTTGAAAACCATGTTTCGGGTCCTCGCCGCTACAAAAGCTGAGTACTGAATACCAGAGTCCCCGAGAAATGCTCTGTGCTACCAGATCCTCGCGCTCCAAATCCGCGACCGGGCTCTCTGTGGCTCCTTCATCGAACTGCCAGGCTTTGTGAGTATAGAGGAGGCTATGGTGGAACTGAGAGCGCTCCCTGTGCTTGCCAACCCTAGCACTTGGCAATGAGGAACATTAGTGGCATATAATCGGCTCCAGGGGCCCTATGTTGCACGTTTTGGACTCCCACGGCGACTGCGGTGAAAGAAGTGACGTCAACAACGCAGCAAATGCAGATTGGATGTTGACTAATCTCTCATCAATCAGCATCCAATATGCATTTTCTGCGTTTTTGACGTCACTTCCTTCTACGTAGTCACCGTGGGAGTCCAAAATGTGCAACATGGGGCCCCAGGTCGTGTGGCCGCTTCTTCTGGCTGCGTGTTGAGGGGGTGAACCCTGCTCATTCTACTTGAATTTTTTGTGCAAATGCTATTACGTAAAAAAAAATCTAGCACGTTATTTATTGATTATTAACGCAAAATATATATTCTAAGCCGTATTCACTGCGAGTACAAAAATTGTTGAATCGCTCCTTTAAGTGCCCGATTATATTTTCAACAGACACTAGGCCAGAAAGGCCCAGCTGCCTTCTACGAAGGCCCCGTTGCTCAGGCCGTGGTCAATGCCGTCGCCGCTGCTGGGGGCGTCCTGAGTCTCCAAGACCTCAAGAACCATCTGGAATCGACTGAGGACCCAGTCGTCCCCACGGTTTCCACAACGTACCGCGGAGTCAGAGTCCACACAATGAGGCCGCCTAGTCATGGGGCCGTCCTCCTGGAAGCACTCAACATCCTCGAAGCATACGATTTAAAAAGTGAGCGTCTTGTTCTTTTTTTGTTAATTCCCAACTTAACCTTAGCCTCCTATATAGGGCGAAAGGATGAAGTCAGCGCCTTTCTCACGCCGGCGCAGCGCGAGGTCGCTGTAAACGAAGGAGGTCGAGCGGCAGGCGAGGGTTTACCATTTTGTAGGAAGCGCAATTGAGACATTCTAGCTGCAGTACGAAGAATCACCTCTCTTTTCTTGTTGCATTTTGGGAGAGAAGCGAAAAAACAAACAAACAACGAATTCCTGCATAGCTCCTTTCCACAGCTTGCTTTCCTCTCCTAGTGGGAGTAGGAAGACACGTAGGTGGATACGCCGAGGAACTGGGAAAGGAATGCAAGTCGTGGATGGGGAAGGGTGATGGACGTGCAAGTTTCCTTTTGAAAGAAAAAAAGGAAAGAAAGAAAGAAAGAAGATACTTTTAGAAAGTGCCCGCGGATTCGTGAGGGCGTCACCGCCCATATACCCTCTTCTTTTCATTTTCTGTTCTGTCTCTAGCAGTTTTGGCGGCCTGTTCTGGGGCAGAAGGGGCATGCTTTCCCCCATATACGAGGTTATAACTGAACCCATGGTTCGATATATCAACTTCCTTTGTTAATGTATCTTATGAATGTTTCCGATAGACATATATGGACTCACAAGATGGAGTAGGAACTTGTATAGCCGCACTTACGACTTACATAGCTTTTGTTAGTTCTGGTAGTTCTTGAAAAGAACTACACGCGCAACAGTTTACTTTTTAAAGCCCACAGTTTTAGAAGCATTCTTACCACTTTCGGCTGGTATACAGCCAGTTTAATTACATGATTCACACTGACTAGTTGAAAGGCATTTATCGTATCTATCTTGCATTCATGTATATAGGCGTTAGAACAATTGGTCGTCGAGACATCCACCGTACAGCCTCCTTCAATATGAAAGACCCACTAGCAGCGCATGGTCGACACGGTTGCTTGGGATGGGGGAGGGGGGGGGGGGCGCATACTACGGGCGATTCCATTTTATCCTGAACGGGGGAAGACTCAATCGGGGTCCAGGCCAAGGTGACTATTCTGAATCCGTAAAAGCGCAAGGTCCGTGCCATCCTTCTAACGGACGAATGCGCCCTTCAACACGTTTTTTTTTATTAAATGACTCAGGTGTAACTTTAATATGTTTGTTCGGCAGTGCCTGTTCTGACATTTTACACCAGAAACAACTGGTAAAATAACAGTGATATGACTATACTTGCTTAGAGTCTTCGTGAACAAACCGCTGGGCATGACGTCGCTGGAGCGCGCTCTTCCGCTAAACCGAAACTACATACGGTTAAGCCTATTCAGGCCCGGTTGAACACCGAGTGAGTGTCCTGGAACCCGTCGAGACAGAATGGAATAGCCCGCGGGGCGCCTTGGCCGTTGCCATCTCGGCCACCTTAAATGTACAGCTTCTCATAAAGTTTATTCAGACAATTCAAAAGTGACATGTTGTAGCTTTAGACGATATATGAACAAAGAAATGCCAGTTAACATGACCAAATTTTCTGCAAGAAACGGTTATAATCGCAGCTCTTAATATGTCTAATGCCTACCGTCATGTCGAGAGTGTAAGTCAGAAAATAATCCCGAAGTTAGAGCAAGACAAGTGGTGAGTGGTGCGCATGAAGTTTATTTTCATTACTATACATACCTGGATACACGCCATCTCTTTACATACCTGCTCGCGCGCACAGAAACACTTATATGCTGTAAGCACCATCATTTGTAATTTTGCAAAGTTCACGAATTGGAAAGTTTGTGAACTTTAGGGGCACGAAAATATTTCTGTTGTCTAGAAAGGCGACGTCCAACCTTTAGAATTCTAGACATTTAGTGATAACAAATGACCCCTCTTTCCAAGTAAAAAAAAGTTTGGGGCCGCGAAAATAGTGTTTTGCAGTGCCCTAATTGCTATCAATGCGTCCTGTAAGTTTACACTGGAACAAACCATAAAAACAAACAACAACACGATTAAAACTTCATTCTAAAATTCGTATTGTCTTTAAATATGGCTTATATATATTACGAGAAAATGAAACAAAATTATCACCTGATGACATCTACGCAAACAATACACAAATGGAAGAACAGAATACGATGCTACAAATCGGCCCACACCACTAGCGAAACCTTAAAGGGGTCATGAAACGATATCGGATTGTAATGCTCATGACTTTGCAGAGGCCACAATGGAAGAAACACATTTAGTTCGCCGCACCGAGCGCTTCATTCGCACGGGGATAGATGGCGCCCAAGTATCGAGTCCCTCTCAAACCGACCGCTCCGGTTGTTTCTCTCAGCGGTGGTCCCGTATCCCTCGCTCATCGCCTCTCGTTCTAACTCGTTGCCGCCACGCCGCCACCAAGTCGCCAGAACTCGTTAATTTGTGTTCTCTTCCTTCTTCTTCGGGTTAAGGCTCACCTTCGTTCACGATGGTGGCACTTGTGATCTACACAGCACCAAAGCAAAACACGAGTCCTTGCCAATGGCGGCACACCACCACCACACCTCCACATCTCGAAAAAGGCGAGCACGCTACGCCGCCGACACCGTGGCCGCCGAGGAGGGACCGCATACCGTAACGCCCTCCGCGTCGACGCGGAACTAACTACTACTGGTTCGAGGCTAGCTTCGAACACGATCTGGTCGCTCGCTCCCCGCGCGAAGAGCGCCCAGAGTCATTACCTAAATGTGTTTTTTTCACTGTGGCAGAGGAGTATAATGGTTATAGTTGGGCCCAAATATACTCGCACAGACAGCGACGGAGCGAGAAGCTTGTTCGTCGCGGTGAAATTGCGAGAATAAAAAGGGTCTATTTTTTTTTTCAATCTTGCCTTCGCAAAGCTTGATGACGTAACTGCAGGATAGGAACCACCCACCCTCAGGAAAGTTGAGCGCGTCTCATGGATTGGACACGAGAACTGCGAGAGCACTCGACTTCGGCTCGTAACAATCAATTTACAAGAATGAGATCGTAGCACATATTGGATCGAGCAGGGACCAATTGTACGCAGCCTGTTTTTCTACTTCTCCCTCTTCTACTCATCCACAACCAATAAAAATTGCCTAATCTCTATTCGATGCGCTACGGTCTTGTCCATGACTACGTTTACACGAATGCGATCACAGCGCATCGAATCGAACAGGGACCCTTCGCACGCAGCCTGTCTTTCTACTTATTCCTCTTCTATCCCTCTGCTACCAATCAAAATTGTTAAATTTCGATTTGACGCGCTGCGATCGCATCCATGTAAATGCAGTACACGGCTGGGCTTACATGGATGCGATCGTAGCGCATCGTATCGAGAAGGTACCAATCAAACTGTGTTTCTAATTCGTCTTCTACCCATCTACTGTCTATTCAAATAGACAAATCTCGATTCAATGCGCTGCGGTCGAGTCCATGTAAATATAGCCCATTTCAATGCAGCCAATGCCTCGTCGGACATTCGGGTTGTAGCTTGTGTCCAACCACTACGGTGGTGAAATTAACCGAACTCTAACAATGCCTGGAGCTCTGCACGCGCTTTCTACTTTGCCAACCCCAGTGCGTGGCTATGATTAGAGTCACTGTATGGGTTCCCAGAGTAACGAAACACCGAAGGTTCGTTATAGAACGCGGTGCGGCGCTGAAACGGAAACCATGGCGGCGCCATCTTGGGTCCACTCGTCGACGGGGGTATGAAGGCAATAGTGACATGCGTTGGAGCGTGTTGAAAGAGCTTTATTTAAAGTGCTCGGTGGACTACACAAAAACTTCTGTGGTGTTGTGAGCAGCTTCAGTAGAGAATTAACATTGCATTACATAATTTGCTCTCTGACTCGTTTTTGCTTGGTAACGATGACAAGTCCAGCGCCATGGATTGTAGGGAATACGCTCTGTTTGAGGAGCTTTCTGCCATCGACTTTCTTCGTTTCCGATTGAAACTCTTCGAAGTGATTCTAGGAGTCATTGTGATAAAACGACGCAACATGTTGACGTAATCTGAACGGAATACACTGCGATCTAAATGCTGTTCAGAACCATTTCACGAAACTACGGAAGTAGTGAGAATATAAACTACATGAAAGCAATACTTCCCAGAGTCACAAGGACCCGCTTTCGCTCGGTATGTCACTCCAAGAAGCAACCGCATGCACAGGACCTTTGATGGATTAGCTAAGTCTGCTACACATTTAAAATTGAGATACGCGATATGCGCAACGATAGATCTGACCCAACACCGGCTTAAGCTTAGCCCAACGCTTACCAAATGGCAAGAACGTCGCTCGTGCGAAACCGAACGCAGTTGACGCCTATTCGACTGCGAGGCAACGAGCGATACGCGGAATGAACCAGCTGTAATTGGCACTCGCCTCGCAAAGCTTGCTTGTTGTAGTGGGCTCGAAATCTTTCCGCTTTACTATGGCCAGCCAAGCCTTCTTCCTCCGTCTTGCATTTGCGTTCTTTCCAAACGGGATCCGGAATTTCCATCCTCCGACCTGCTGCTGCACCCAAAAGCGCAACAAGCAGGCATTGGGCCGCTATGATCAACGAGATCAAGCCCCATGCTCGCGCCAGTAGCTTTGACAGCGTTGCACACTAAGTATGAAACAGAGTATAAGTACACAACCTCCTTGCTTTTGACGTCAATAACCGCGTGGAAACGACGGCGCGTAAACACGCGTTCGATGAGCAGCAGCACGTGCGTCTGTGCAGCTGTTTGCTGGACCCTAGATGGTGGCGATTACAGCCGCTTGAAGCGTTGATGGAGGTGAGTCTAGCGGTGCTTGTGTCACGTGAACGCTGCCGTTTAATGAGGCTCACCAAGCCAAAACATGATCAGCTAGAGTGAGTATGTTGTCGGCAAAATGCAAAAAGAAAAGGAATGCGTTACTCTGGCAACCCATACAGTGACTCCAGCTATGATTAACGTTAGCGGCATAGGATAGGCACCAGGCCACGTGGCCGCTTGTTCTGGGTCCGAGTTGA